ACTTGCAGATAAAGCTCTGGGACCTGAGAAAACTAAAATGTGTAAAAGAATATAGCGGTCATAAAAACGAACACACTATTCTTCCTTTGCACATCAATGAGGAAGAAGGGCTTCTTTCAGCAGGTATGGCATTGTTAGTCATAGACTGCACTTATTATTAAATAATAAACAGGTAGGGTGCATATTGTTAGGGTATACAAAATGAAGTTGGCCTGAGAACAAAGCAAAGACTCTAGAAGCAGTATTTATTGTTTTCTAACTTTTAAACATTATACAAAATGAGATTAGCACCCAAACTTTAATTATTTATTTATTTATTTAACTTATATTGCTGCCATGGCAAGTCGAGGTGGCTTACACAATAATATGCTTGAGATATTGATCCAGATTTCAGGAAAATTACTATTCTCTAAAAGAGATTAGTTTGTCTTCCACAAACTCGCATATCACATTTTACATACATGTTCACTTTGCTCAGTTGATTGGAATTTTTATTACCCAAATTTAGCTACTAGTTCAATGGCAGAAGAAAGAACATTCTGTTCTCCATCTTGGCATCACGTATGATCTCCCCCTAAATTTGTGAGTTTGTATGGCCATTTCATCCATTTTAATTACCATCAGCCACTTTTACCAAAATCTATAGCAAGCATTCTGATTTGGGAAAGGCAATGGATGAAGAACTTACAAAGACAGCTTCACTGAAATGTCTGTAAATAGTTAAGTGTTACAATTTATGTTCATACTTTAATTGCTTTTTTCTCCTTAGTGGGTCAAGACTGTTATACGCGAATTTGGAGTCTCCAGGATGCTCATTTACTACGAACTATTCCATCTCCTTCTCCATCTTCCAGAGATTCTATTCCAAGTGTGGTGTTCTCATCACAGCTTGGAGGTGCCCGAGGTGTTCCCGGCTTGCTTATGGCAGTCAGACAAGATCTCTACTATTTCTCCTATAAGACAGATGATCCATATTGCCTGAATATTAAAGACATGGACTGTTCCACTTTGCATAGTGACTGAAAATAAGAATGATGGGTATAGTAGTGCTGCATAGTTGTGCTGTGTTTCTCATAGCTAACGTTCAAGACTTTTATAATTATCAATATTTTTCAGTGTTTAAAATAAAACAGATTATGAATAGTGTACATTTTCTTTTTTGTTTTGTTTTTCTTTTCGTAGTATTATCTACAAACTGAAATTCAAATTTCTGGTATTTCTATGACTTCTAATACAACGAAAGCTGATATGTTTCCCCATTAAGAAGGTGGCAGAATATTTGAACGTTCCATAAATAGGTCTCAAAATCTTAACAGAATCCAGAGTGAGCTTTGCTACATTCATGGACATATTTTTCTGCCCATCATTTGAAGATTAAGTAAAGCAGATAATTATAGTCAAGCATATTATTTGTGTAATGTTACCTTTAAAATAGTATTAATAGAGATGGGAAGTTTCTGGTTTTCAGCCTAATGTAGGATAGATAGCATGAATGATATTTCCTCCAAAGCTTTCATTGCCTTGTGTTTTGCCACTGTTTTTTTTAACAACAGCTGTAAACATATTTCTGATTGGACTGTCCTTAATTTTCCCTAATAGATAACTTTTGCCATTTTTTACTGTGGGTACACTGGCATACATTAAAAATGAAATTCTCTTGCCTGGTCTCAAAAGTATACTCTTACATAACACGGATACACTTATGCTATATACAGAGAGACATCTATCTATACCTATACATACACACACACACACACACACACCAGACACCATGAAGCCTCCCAGATGGTAACAAGGAAAATAGGTCGTGAAGATGTGTAGTGTACCAGACAATACTATGGACCATGGTCAAGCATTGCTTATATGCTGTCTTGGATAGAAGGATGTTACCTCCCAATAGTCTCTGCCATCCTCACCACTCTCTGAACTGCCTTCCTGTCCGAAGCACTAATGCTTCTAAAGCAGACTAATGCAATATGACAAGATGTTCTCGATCGTCCCCCTATAGAAAGTGGTACGGACAGGGGGAGGAAGATGTACTTTTCTCATGCAACAGAGAAAATGCAGGCGCTGCTGTGTCCGCCTTCACCAGTGTCTTGCTGTTGAGCGACCAAGCTAGCCTACTTGTTAAGCTGCATACCCAGAAACTTAATGCTACTAAGCACCTCCACAGGTGAATCAATACTCAGAGGTGTGTGGCTGTGCCTGCCTTTTCTGAAATCAACAATCTTAGTTTTTCCAATGTTTAAAGCAAGGCTTTAAAGCAAGACTTTAACCATTGGAAAAACTTTTTCCAACTTTTTTTCTTTGTATTCTCTCTATTCTCTGTTTCATCCTGTATTATGCTGCAAAACCCAGACCCCCGATATTGTCTGGTTAGCCCCAGCTGGATGACGAATTGGACTGGTTTCCATATACTTCAGTTCTCTATTCTCTATTCATTACCAACATTATAAATGATTAAGAAATGTACATTTCCAGAAGAGGCTGTTTCTATTCAAAGAATAGAAGTGATAACTATCCTCTGCCTGTTACTATCTTCTTCAGAATATTTTATGTAACGTTAAAAAAGTTTTGATTTAAAAAAGGGTTTGAGAATGCAGGCTAGAATAGAGTTTTTAGGAGGAGAGGAAAATTCCATTATTTGAGTAGCATTATACACCCAGCATAAAAATCTATCCAACATGTTTATTTTTAGACAAAGCCACAAGCCTCCTTACACTATTTAAGTGTTTGTTTCAATAGACCTTCAGTCACATATCCACTGAAATAGATAGATACATTATATAATAAAAACAAGCAAAGAAAAAAATCCCAATGGCCCTTTAAGAATGTAAAGAAAAGATTATATTATGTTTAAAAATAATCTCATATTTTAAACGGGAAGAAAAAGATTTTGATAAATTGATAAAATCTTACTTGATATATGTCAATTATTGACATATATAAACATGCTCTGTATGTCAATTATTGATTTATATTTCATTGGATTTGGTTTTATATGAGTCTTGTACTGGCTAACCTTAACAAAATTGGTCTTGCAATCTTACAAAATCTAAACACCAAAACTAGATAGCAGTTGGCATCTCTAATTGAGACACTTGTTGGGTTTCAATAAAGTTTGAGGGTGTAGCTAGTTTGTGTTTTTAGCTATTTTGTGTGAAAAGCAATCTTGCCAGGGAGGCTGTTAGGTTACAGAAACTGGCCTTTGTATTTGCCCATCTGGAACCATTTTACACTAGCTGAATGCATCACTGGAGGAAAGATTACTAGTAAATCTAAAGGTCTGCAAAACATTTTCATTTATATGCTGACATCAGACAGAGCTATAGAATTTGTGTTATATTTTGAGGAAAGAAACATTCTGTAAGAGTTAAGTAATCTGATTATTACAGGAGGGAGAAGTCTGTGCCAAAATTATTGTTTTTAATATGGTGAAAGTGTAGTAGAACAAAATGATTATGTTAATATATTTTAAATTATTCCAGTTATCCAATGTATAATACGCTGCAGAAGTCTGTAACAGATACAAACATATTTTGGATTCTGCAGGGCATTGGTAGAAACACTAGATCCAAGCCCTAACATGGAGACAAGGAAGGGAAGTTAGATTAAATCATTTTCTTGTAAATGGGATTCCTCTGCAAAGTAAAAGCTTCCATGGACAATATGCTCTTCCATATCCAATTCATTTTGTAATGCATTGAACTGCGTCCATTATTTCTTCACATTTATAGAAATGTGATGGGCTTCTGTCAATGCATCTCTTTTTTAAACAGAATATTTGTCCAACTCCTCTCAAAACTTTATTATGATCCATTTATACAAAAGCAGTTTTATCTGGATAATTCTCTGCAACCATATTGCAATGAACAGTTAAAATCTGAAACATTACTATAGCATTATGTTTGGCTTCCTATAATCTAGGTATGCTATGATCCTGAATTTAAGAATGTTACAATTTATTTTGGAAATCCAGGATTTTAAATCGATGAAAATCATGTACAACTTGACACCTTGAATACTTGTAAGTTTCATACACTGAAATTTGTTAAGTCAACCTAAAGTGTTTAAGCATTGATATAAGTGTTTGCATAACTACCTTTTAACCAACAAGGCATTCTCATTAGCATTCTCTCACAATTTTCATACTGATATTTAGTATTTAATTTGTGACTGCAAACTGAGCAGTAGTTCTTATTTTAGTAGAAAACTGTTTCCAGGGCAGGGGTATCCAATGTCATCAAGGCGGTGTCACATGATATATCGGGACTTTTTTCCCCTTTGCTAAACCGGACATGGGTATGGCCAACACGTGATGCATCCAGCTTGCGGGCCAGGAGTTTGACAGCACGTTCTAGGGTATATTTGGTTCTGTTCTAAGGATGACCTTTTAAGCCCACTTAATTAGTGACATAGTAAAGGCCATGCAACTACAGTCCTTTGACAGCATCAGTAGTATATTGACTACTGTGTTTTGCACTGCAGAATGCCTAGTCACTTGGAATAATGCAACTTGAAATTAACATAGCTTAAAGGCACCAGGATGGTGAAGACAGCATTGGCAAACATTGATCGAGCTTCTTAGAATGAAGTTTGGTTAAAAAAACAACAACTACATAAAGCAGAAGCTTGCAAGTGAGTCTTTTATATGAGGAACGTTCAATATTTCTGTATGTGCAATAACATTGGTGGAAGAGCTACATGCATGAAGAACACACATTCTACAAACAAATTCCATTTTTACGTTCCACCATAAGTCAAAACTAAAAATAATATGGGGGCGGGGGGAAAATCCTCCACCTTGGAGGATAGAATATATATGAGGACAAAAGATTATTCAGTTTCTAATTACAAAATACATACTAAATCATGTGTACTTCAGGAATTTATTACTATATAATCCAATTCTGTTTTGATATACAGAGTCAACACTATATTTTTTTCTCTAGTGACAGAGTAAGACTAGGCAGGCATTCAGAAAAAAATCATCACACTTGTTCAGAAGGGGTAAGTCCTTTATAGCACTTAATTTAATACAGCCCTACAACAGGATTTCAGGCATCAAGATATACAAGAATATACTTAATAAATTGGAAAACAGTGTTAGATATCATGCCAAAGTCCAGCCATTATTAATGTAGATGGTCTCCACCACAGGAATGTGCCATTTGTCTCAGAAGAGGCAAAAAGGGATTTTTTTTTAAATTAAGGTTCTAATGGTATCTTGTTTATCACTGTAACAAGATCCACGGAAAAGCATAATCCCATGGTTTTATTCAGTGATTAGATCAATGCCTCAAAGTGGTTCAGTTCAGGGCTGTTGTAAAAAAAAAATGCCATTGTCTCATTTGCTTGTACACTCGGAGGGTTGCCCATTTTCAGTTTTGAGTGCTTCGAGGGTCCTTTCAGACATTTGCCAACTTACAAAGGACTAAAGTTTAGGAAGCTAAACAAATACTACATTGCTAGATATGGAAGTTTGCTTTGTACTTACCATTGCTTTCAGTCTGGACAAGTTAGATCAGGGGTCCCCAAACTTGGCAACTTTAGGCTTGCGAACTTCCACAAGTCTTAAAGTTGCCAAGTTTGGAGACCTCTGAATTAGATGAAGAAATGAGTAAATATCACAAAGAAATCCACAACCTCACAAGTTTGTGGATAAGAAGAGTAAGGGTTCATCACCTCAGAATTAAACCGGAAGGGCTTTAATTTTAATTTAATTTTAATTTAATTTCTTTCTAGACTTGAACTGTGTTTAGTACAAGGGCTTCCAATCTTGCCCATCAGACCTTGCACATAGTAATAAAAAGCATTCTTCCTCTTTCTAGCTTTGACTGGGAAGACCCTACCAGCAGAAGGAAGCCAGAATGGGATAAAACAAATAGGGGTGATAAGAGTTGCAATGGCCAGACCAAAGGCCTGGTACTCTGTATTCAAAACCAAGGCTCATGAATGGTGATTATTTCAAGTGAACAACTTGTAGAATCACAATTATTGAAATTCATGATGCTGTAAGTAGCAGAATGCTTCAAGCAAATGAATCCCAAGGCACTCAAGAGGTTGTGCTTGATCCATTACATTTAAAAAACAAAATCCAATTTCTATTTACGTTTCACTGTTAACAGTAAATTATCAATGCTTCATCAGCCAGCTGCATTTAGCATACATTATAGGGATATAGAAATACATACAGTTGACTGGTATATACTGGATTTGGGATTCCTCAATTTATTGCAAGCTTCTCCACATCCCCAACTTCCATGATCACAACTGGCAATCAAGCCTTCTCTGGGCTATTGATTATTCCACGTTACTGAAATCTACACATGTAAAGAAGGCTAGACATGAGGAGCATGCATTTTGCCTAGTTTTTCTTTTTCTTCTTCTTCTTATCTAACCCTGAGAAGCTACGGTGTTACTGCATACCCAGAAGGAAAGTCAGGGTTAAAGATCACCAGGCTTTTTATTGCAATTAAAACAGACCCTAACTGGATGATCCCAACCACGAGAAGGGACAGCTCTGCGCTCATGAGAGCACTCATCACAGAAGCCCTGGCCACAAGCACGACAGTGATGCTTTGACAATTTGATGTTGAATTCCTTCCGGCAAATGTGGCAGTGTAAGATTTCGTGGTCAGGTACCCAGTAGGTAGGCCTAGCGGCATCTTTCACAAGACCTGTAAACGATCAGAAAAATCCCACAAAAAGCTAGTTTGTTATCAGTGAATCAGGGCAAAAGTTACAGAGTCTCTTCTGTTTGTTTACCAAAAAAATAATAATTTAAAGTTTATGCATGTATATACCTTAACTATGTTAAGCTCTGTGTAGTGGCTCTGCCTATTGACACAGCCAGGAAAGAAAACACTACTGGGAAATGTCTCTGCCTCCAACTGAGATTTGAAAATACCTCGCCTTAATCACAAAGTGAGGGTAATTCAGAGTACTTAATTTACATCAATTAAGAAATATCAGCTCCTCAGAGGCAGATCCCCTGCGTGTTTCTCCCCCCCGCCCAGCCTATTTTTGTAACTATTATGTTCCCTGAAAATAAGCCTACCATGTTTTTGTGTGTGCACCTAATATAAGCCCTATCCCCAAAATAAGTCCTACTTAAGTGCCTGTGCAGTCAGCCGCCCACTCATTCCGTCTGGTTGCTTACAGTGCTGTGGCCACGAGGTGAGGTGTAGAGTTGCCCCACCTGCCCCGCAACAGCTTACCTTAGGGTCCCTGCAGCCGGGCCATCCGTGCCCCGACACCTGCCTTGCTTCATGATAGCAGTTTCAGCAGCCCCATCCAGCAGAACCTCGCATGGCCGCCGGCCCACTTTTACTGCTTGCTCACGCAAGCTCCACCCCCCTGCCTCACAGCGGTGGCATTGGCATGCCACACGGCCTCCTGCCCCACTGCAAGCAAGCAGAAGTGGGCCTCCCACATACTCTTAAAGTACATTGGGGGGAAATAAGATATCCCCCGAAAATAAATCCTAGTGCTTATTTTGGAGCCCAAAAGAAAATAAGACCCGGTCTTATTTTTGGGGAAACACGGTAATAAGCTCAGAACCTTTCTAAAGCCATTTGTAGCACTTACCCAGTGGGATGTCAATGGCAGTTACCACAGCCCCAAGAGTGTTCTGCACAGCTTCACCAACTTTCCTGGCAATCACTGTCCCTCCTTCCTCATCTGTTGATGCCTCAGCTACTTCTGCAAAACAGATGTAAGGGCTCAAAACCAAAAGCACAACCCCAGAGGAATCCCCTAACCCTATTTTAAAAGCATCACAATGTAAGAACAATTATCTTATGTTACCCAAAGCAGATTCTGAATGAATACTAGGTAAAACCACAAGACTATATCTTATCAAAGTGAAAACATCCTATTGAAGGATATGCTTCGACAGAGGTTGGTAGGGCATCTGTCAGAGATTTTTTAATTTGGATTCAGTAGGCTAAATGCTTTCTTCTAATCATGATTCTATAAAGCTCCCATAGATGTCCTAGCAGGTCTACAATAGAGACCAAAATCCATTCAGAGTTAAATACCAGTATTAAGAACTGCAACCAAATTTGTGTAATATTTCCAGATAAATGTGTTCATAGGTAAAATCCAGGACCATTTCTCACCTTTCTGTTGGCCTTTAAGAAATCTTCATGAGTTCCAGCTGCTATCAAATGAACACTTAGGAGTGACATCCTCACAGCAGCCTATAAAGCTAGCAGTATTGTGTGTCCTATTGTGATTATCTCGCTTATTTCCAAGTTTCTGCTTTCCCAGTACAATCCAGCAGGATAGATGCACTCCAGGTCCCTTCCATTTAGCTTTGCCAGTCTGTGGAGCCTAAGAAGCATGGCTTCTCTTTTGCAGCTTCCACCCATTGGAACACCCTCCCCTCAGAGATAAGGACAGCATTCTTTCTCCTGAGGTTCCAGAAAACTTCAAAAAAATCTTCTGCCTGGGGTTGATTTTTATTATGTGTTCAATGGCCCATGTGTTGTGTTGTTGTTTTTGCCTCAGCTACCTGTGGGATTCAAAGTTTTTTGCTGTTCCTTTGGTTTTCCTAGTTTTGTACACTGCACAGAGTCCATTGGAGCTGTACAGCCAATAAATTTAAAAAAATAAATAACCTAAAATGGTTCATTTTTAAGCCAACAAAAGATGCAACTGGCAAGGACACCAACTAAATAAGATAAATTATTTGGGGGGGGGGGGAAATCCCTCATGCTTTAACAATTTATGAATATGAGACTTGCATGAACAGTAAACAGAACAATACGCAGGTTGCTTATGTGATTATGTGCCCTGAGGTAATAATTTCTTGTATTTTCTTCAATGGATTTTTTTCACATTTATATCTCACAAGTAGTTGATCACAGGTATCGTTTAGTTTGCTTTCATTTTCAGATATCACAAGATTTACATTATCACAATACAGTATTACAAAAAAAAAACAACCCACTGTTGATTCCTCACTTTGATTCACACACATAGTATGATCAAGACAAGATTACCTAACTGAACGCCCCTGTTGTCATAACAGTTGTCGCATACTCGCACAGGTGTGGGTCCCCAACCACGTTCTGGGACAGGGCGGGTCTTGGATGAACAACCATCACAAAAACCTTCTCCACAAGCCCGACAATGGTGCTTGGTGTCATTATCTTTAAAAGATATGCCACATTTCCTACAATTCTGAACAAGAAAAGATGAGTAAAGTCAAAACATTACAGGATTTTTTTCCCTGTTTAATGAAAATAAAGGAAAAAAAGGTAGATGAAGAGGTATTTAAGCCATTCAATTGGCTTTGGCTAAACTTAATGTCCTTCAAAAATAATCAAATTACTCTCGTTCTCACAAAAACAACGTTGTTTGTCAACTTGCATCATCTATTGATCTGTCTAGCTTAGCATCTGTGCTGACTGACTTTTTTTAGACAGGAGCATTTCCAGTTCTATTTAGAAATACCTAAGTCCTTTCCAAGCAAAATATATGCTTTGCCATTGGACAACCGCTCTTGGTGAAAATTGTAGTTAAATATATTTGAATCACACCAAATCAGAGAAGAATAGATTAAACCAACATTGCTACATCCCTCACTAATATGGATATCTTCACTTAGCTGGCCTCCTGAGAGAATCTTGGCAGATGCATAGGAATTATTAGGCAAAATATTGGTGTCTTATCCAAGGAGCTTGTGGACTAGCACTGAAGAGAGAGAAGGAAAAAGTCAAAATAACCAACCATTGGGTTACTGTCAGGAATTGTGTCTCATTTTGACTTTAAAGGAACAGAAAAAGATAGGCTGGTCAATTAGCATATAGTATATAGAAACTAATCTTGTGGAAATGAAAACTGGAGATGAAAGTGGTGCATTGTTCTTCTACATTTCAAGAGTAGAGAAAACAGAACACCCAGCTGATGTTTCAGACAGTCTGCCCACCACATTCCCTAGGCTTTTTTTTTAAACTCCTGGGAAAAAATTATACTCAATCCAGGGGCAGTAGCTATTTGCAATTCTGCAAAAAAAATAAATCCTTAAGTCTATAGATTTGTACATTGTAATAAGTGCATTTAGACAAAACATGAACCATTAGTTCCGCTTTTCGGAAAAAGCAAAGTGAAGAAAAACAAGAAACATTTGCAAATAATTATGGTGGTGCTGGGTACCAGAATCTGGGAATTGGGTTTCCAGTAAGCCGGAGCAATCTGATCTGTCAACCACGAGGTTACAGCTTTGGTAGGTCCCAAGCTCAGTTCAGACATTGACTGTGCCATGAAATTCATTCCATCGATCAGGCGCTGAGCAGCATTGTTATTGTCCTTCAGGCTGCAGTCAGTCTGAAATGAAACAGTAATGTGGACATCTTATTCAGTTTGACTGCTGCTGCTAAGCTGTTTTCATCAAACACACCCAGATGTTTCCCTTTATGCAAAGAATAACAAAAAAAATATTAATACCATTGAAATAATTGGGGGATTGATCAGTCCTGACCATGACACATTTTGAGTAGGTTGCAGGGGCTTTAAAACATGCAGCCAAGAGCTGCTAAATTCAAAGTAAAGAACATCAGAAGTGGCACAATTTCTGTACACTTGCATTGGAATGACATGCCACTTAGGAAGAACTTTAAACATCCAGTCATTGGAAATTCTTTTCTACGTGTCAATTCCAGGGAAGGAGTTAGCAACCCAGAATAAAGAACACATCAATTATAGTCATACTGAGTTTGGTTAAATTGAACTCGGTGGCCTAATTTGGGTGAATTCTAATAGCTTGGGTGAGCCTCCTTAGCACCAGCCAAAATCTTGAGGGAAGTGTTTAAGGGTGTGAACAGGAATGGCTTACCTCTTCTTTCATTCCGTACCCTCAACATCCTTCCAAAATGTTAAAAAACAGACCAAATCACTTTGTGCAGGCCTGAAACAGTGGACATCACTGGATAGCCCCCTGTTCCTGACACACATACATCTCGGCTCAAAGTTTGTCCACCCTTTATCTAAGTGGCCCTTTCCAATCCTTATGGTTCTAAAAAAAAAAACACCTAGAAACCAATCATTGCTCACAGACTTACTCCTGGCCAGACGTGTACAATCTCCGTCCTCACCACAGTATCCACAGGATCTTGGTTTCCAAACCAGTATTGTCGGCTACGGTATACAACTCCACAATTGGGGCACTCAATTACATATCTGCAAGTAGGGAAGAAAAGAGCTGCTCACTTCAGCCTCTTGAAGTGATACGACTAGGACAGGGGTCTGCAACCTGCGGCTCTGGAGCCACATGCAGCTCTTTTGGCTCTCTGCTGCGGCTCCCTGTCAGCTGATCCCATTACTGGCTGGCCCCTCCCCTCCCCGTCACTCCTCACCAGGCCTGAGAAAGTAAGAGTGATGGTGGGGGATGGAGACTCACTCCATATTCCAGAGCAGGAGGTGACTGGGTGGGAGTAAGTGACATCGAGTTGCCCACGCCCATCCAGTCATACCAGTTGTTAAATTATTGGCTCCCAGTGTTTTCTTTTCTGTGGGAAATGGGTCTTTAAGTGTTTAAGGTTGCAGACCCCTGGACTAGGAGAGCAGAAAGGGAAGGGATGGACCTATACTTACCCTGACCAGGCATACTTAGCAAGGCCCATCCAAGGGGAATCTGTAGAAGCAGATGTTTTGGGCACTACCCTAACCTCTTGACCATGTTCGTAACAACCCTGAAAAGCAAGAAATCAATTAAAAAGCTTTTCTCTTCAAATATATAAAAAGCTTTTCTCTTCAAATATTCATCTTCAAGCCTACTCTGCACACAAATTTTTCTTTTTAGAAAAGAAATAGTAAGAAATATCATGAGTTGGACACTTTTATGACAACATAAACATACATAAAACTTATCATGGTTGTAAGCAGAGAAATAGAAACCAAAAATAAATTAGAAAAATCATCATCATCATTTCTAGCTGAAATCTATTGTCTGGGATCTACAAAAATTATTTCCCAGTTCATGTTGTTTCTACTACTTAGGGTTGCTAGAATTAGCTACATCATGTAATATGCACAGAAGGAAGGCTTGTAGGGACATTCTTTACTGTATCTGTTCCACCTTACTCACATCCCAAAAAATTAAAATATTTTCAAAAGGTAAAAAAATGTTTTAATTCAGTACATTGCCAGAAATACCCAGAGAGAGGGTTTTTTTAAAAAAAAAAATTTTTTTTTAAAGAACTCCAACTTTACTTAGGAAATCCAGAAACTTGACTAATGTAAATTGGAATGTGGTTGAGCAAGAAATGAAGCAAATGCATCTGACAAGCAATTGGGAATTCCAAAAGTAGCAAGAAATTGAACTATGAACGAAAAAAGCCTTTTGCTTTATTACAGATTTGCTCTTTTTTTTCCCCCTGTGGTATTTCAAAGAATATGCTACGAACAATAGGAAATTGCTAATTTCTAAAGCAGCCTTTACCCTGTCTGAAATAACATCCCAGACATGTTTGTTGAAGCACATACTGTATATCAAGAATCCACAGATAAGACAGCATCAGATGGATGCAGATTTCTCTAAAGTTTCATAATTTGGTGCTCCAAATAACTTCGCTCCTAATTCACCTGAAGAATTAGTAGTGAATTAAGACTGGACTTCTGAATCATTTTTTTTTAAAGTTGTTCCAAACAGCTTCGCTCCTAATTCATCTGGAAAAAATGCATTAGCAATGAACTGGACAAGGATTTTTTTTAATTCCTTGAGAAATAGAGTAATGCTTTTTTGGTTTTAGATGACAACCATCAATGTATTTATTTATTTATTGGGTTTATATTGCCACCTACTCGCCAGTTACCCATCTTCCTAAATAACCTGGCAAAAAGACCTTTTGATTGTGGAAATAACGAGGCAGTCTATAACAATACAAACCCATTTTACCAATAGTAAAACAATACAAGTGCATATGAACTGTGGGTCACCTTCAGCTTAGCAGCTCATGGTCTCCTCCAGTACCAGAAATGCCACTTGCCTTGCTCCACTCACCTTGCAAGTGAATACTCGATTATCATACTGATGAGTGTATCTACAGCGATTCTTAGCATCATGGGGCATTCCTTCTTTTGCATGGTTCATGCTGTTCTTACACCCACTTCTAAAAATTGCAAAATAAAGCAAAAAAGGATTGGGGGCCAAACGGTTGGCACGACATATCTCAGAACAGTATAATCATAATTCAATTTTACAAGCTTGCCCAAAGTAAAGGTATAATCAAACTCTTTTTACATAATTTATCTTAGAAAAAGTGAGTTTTCCCAAAAATCAAATTTGGAATGGTGGCAGGAAGAATCAGAAAAAGAGACAAAACTGAATTTTGCTCCTTCGGCTAAAGGTAAGAATCCCTTTCTATATTAATCCCTTTCTATATTAGACTTATGGTATTGTAGTATAACAACATGACTTGATAATATGACCTTGCAATAATATTACTGCTGGCAGATCTTCACTGGAAAAAGTAGCCTCATTTTAAGGGGAAAAATGGCATTGCAATGGCTATTCAAAGGCAGTCAGCAAAAGGATGAAGGAGATATTTACTTACCTTTCTGCACTTTCGCCTGCACTGACAATGGTTAAAATTGAATATTTGTTGTATCTGAGGGTCCTACTGCCTTATATTTATATACAGCTTGGTTTCCCCTAGTAATTTTATAACTATCAAAATCTAATGCTCACTTGATTATCTTGAAACAGCCATAACAGTACACAGAGAAATTATTCATCTATACAACAAAACGAAAGAGAAATGAAAAGGACAACAAAAATTTTACACAAAAAAGACGTATGCATCAATAGCAAACTGCTCTTACAATAAATACTACAATTTTAGCACTAATCTTTAATGATTAAATGTGTGGATTTTAGCTGGTCTCTAGTTCCATCTGATGAGGGTTAAATGTCATTCTAATACCAGAGAACTACTTATTGAGCTCAAACTGTAAATATGAAATTGCAACAAATAGATTAATCTGTTGAGTGTTACCCAAAAGCAAATATAGTTCCTTTAGAATTTATTAGTTTTTATGATACCCAAAATCCTATCTTCTTAATGCAGAAAGCTTAATTATAATAGCACCAAGGCCATTTAAAATGAATATGTTAAGTTGTATACAACATCTTAACAAACAAAGCAAATAAAAAATCCAATTTGAAAGTCATCCAATGTATATAAGTGTATGAGCCACACCTGTAGTGTATGAGCCACACCTCACTGTTTTAGTAGCAGACATGATCTGAAATATATACAGGAAGAAACTCTTCAACAAAACCAAATGATTACCTGCATCTCTTAGAATCACTCCAACATTACAACATGTAGTACATTTTCTAGGAGTACATAAACTTTATTCAAAGATGGGCCTTCATATCTACTCACCCGCAGCTGAGACATACAGAGGAGCAGGTAAAATACTCATCTGGAAAAAAGGAACTATGAGCCATCTGATCATCTGGAATTTCACCACAGAACCGATCACTTAATGCCTGGATAACAAGAGAAAGACAAATCATTAATAAGCACAGAATGGTAAGCATGTTGAATGCAGAACTATTTTGTGGAAAGGTATAGGTCAAGGGATCAACAGCCTGTGACCCTCAAAACTCCTGCCCTCCCTTTTTTTTTTCTTTTACAGCCATCAATGTCTCTGAATGCACAACTGAATTTCAAGTGTACAGTTGCTGAAAGAGGTGGAAAAAAAATAGCACTTGGGAATTCAGGATTGGATTCACCCCTCATACAAATCCCTGGTTGTTTAACAATGGTTTATGAATGAGTCATAATTGGCTTAATCCAAACAACACATTATGCAAGTATCAAGCAAACTACTTTGTGCCTTAGGGTAAAACCTACTAAGTTTCTCCATTATTCTTTTGTTAGGGTCTTTTAACATCACACGCAGAATAATCTGTTATTCCTTCCCTGTTTTCCATTATAAATTTTTAGCCCAGAGCATATTTAAAAAAAAAGTTTAGGAACAATCTTAATAGTTATGTATGAAGAAGTTAACCATCAACTGAGATATAAGCATAGAAAAGGGGGGGATAAAATCTTGTTCCCCAAAAGAAATGAATTAATAGCAAAATCAAAAGTTTAGAAAGTATGTGAACTTTGCAGACACTAGCCATAAGCATAAAGAAACCACTAATCTCTTAACCCCCTGGGAATTCTTAGCCAGGATGGAACTTTTAAAAGGAAACCTTATGAGAAAATTTCCCTGGGGGATCGTTATTTTTATTTATCTATCCAGTGTCACTTCTTTTTCATTCATTTTAATCTGGAAATAAACCCTAAATGAATACATCTTAAAGCTAATGGCTGAGCACCGTCTATCCTGAATCATGTTTAATGTTGCAAAACTACAAAGGATTTGGGTAGTAAAATAATACTAGGTAGTTTGGTAATAGGTTTTCCATGGAATAAACAGATACGCTTCTTATTGCATCATCATGTTCATCAAATAGTTGTAGGGGAGGTAACAATAATCATGGACTATATCACCTACATTTCATTTCCTTTCTGCAGGAAAGGACAAAAGAAAAATCCACTCCATTGGAAATGCGAAGACATTTTAGTGAAAAATTATTTCAATGAGTCTGCACTCCAAAAACTTCTCCACATGGTAGGTAAAGAAGGATTTGTATCGCTACATTTCCCTGCTGTGGCTACTCAGCATCTTACACTGCTCCCTGAAGAGCCTTGGTTCTAACCTCTGTTTGTTCTAGGTGCCACATCTTTAGTACCTATCAATGAAAATCTAGTTTCTCGCTTAAGGAAATTGAGGAAAGTCAAGGCAAACCAAAGAATGAGTTGTTGCCTAGAGACCATGTCCTGTCAGTTACCCTGGTAACAATATGGACCTTTCCATTGCATTACAATGGCTCAGTTCTGATTGCTTATGTATTTATAGTGCTCTGGCACCCAGCCTGAGACACTGAGTGTTTAGATTACAGACATTATCAAAACTAGTCCTGCCAAAACAGACAGAAAAAAGTATTGAATCTGCATGGGCTCTTCACTAGCTCCACATCGAGACCAAAGTTTCTTCTAGCTCAGTTTAGTATGTATGTATGTATGTATGTATGTACCGTGTTTCTTCAACAATACGGCCTCCACCAATAGGAAGGCCCAGCATGATTTCTAGGCATGAGGTGAAATTAAGCCCCGCCCCCAAAATTAAGGTCTATTTAAACCATGCGTTTCCCCGCCATTTCTCACATCGTTCGTTAGAACTACATGAGGTGAAGAGAAATGGGGGGGAAGGGCGGGGGGGGGAGAAAACTTGCCTTTAGGATCACCCTGCAGGTAGCCTAGGCTAGAATACCCCGATCTACTACCGATAGAACATCAGAAGCTCCCCGAAGGCAGAATCACCAGCCGCTTTGATCGGCCAGTAGAAGCGGCCTCGGGGCGAGCACCCATGCACACTCCCCTCGCCGTGAGGCCGTTTCTATCGGCCAATGATAGCTCCCCGAAGGCAGAGTCACCAGCCGCTTCGGGGCGAGGCGTGGCTGCCCGTGTCCCCTCGCCATGAGGCAGTGTCTTTCGGGCGATGGAAGCTCCGCAAGGGCAGTCACCAGCCACTTCGATCGGCATGTAGAAGCGGCCTTGTGGCAAGGGGAGTGTGCGTGAGCGCTCGCCCCGAGGCCACTTCTACCGGCCGAAGTGGCTGGTGACTACCCTTGGGGAGCTTCCATTGCCCGAAAGACACTGCCTCATGGAGAGGGGAGTGTGCGTGGGTTGGCAGCCACACCTCGTCCCGAAGCGGCTGGGGACTCTGCCTTCGGGGAGCTATCATCGGCCGATAGAAGCGGCCTCACGGCGAGGGGAGTGTGCGTGGGCGCTCGCCCTGAGGTCGCTTCTACCGGCTGATTGAAGTGGCTGGTGACTGCCCTTGGGGAGCTTCCATCGCCCAAAAGACACTGCCTCATGGCGAGGGGGCGCGGGCAGCCACGCCTTGCCCCGAAGCGGCTGGTGACTGCCTTTGGAGAGCTTTCGTCGGCCGATAGAAATGGCCTTATGGAGAGGTACATGCGCATGGGGCGCTCTAGGTGGGGGAGGAAATTAAGTCACCCCCGAAAAAACAGCCTAGTCATTTTTGGGGGGGTCAAAAAAAATAAGACCCATCCTTATTTTGTGAGAAACACAATATGTATGTATGTATGTATGTATGTATGTATGGATGGATGGATGGATTTATTTATTTATAAAAATTATTTGCTACCCATCTTACTCTAGGTTAACTCTGGGTGGCTTAGTTACATCTAAGTTAAAACATAAAAAGTTGCTATCAAACATTTATTTAACTAACAGAAGAGGGAAAATAAAGAGCTCTGAACAAATTGTTGATTTGCCAAGATTCTGGCACATTTGTCCTAGACCTAGACAGATGAGGAAGATCAGATTCTTTTTACTCCTGTGGCTTGACTCACTTGCTGTACCATTTTGAGCCTGCCAACTCTTGAGACACACTTGCTCTAGATCAGGGGTCTCCAACCTTGGCAACTTTAAGACTTGTGGACTTCAACTCCCAGAGTTCCTCAGCCAGCTTGCCAAGGTTGCTCTAGATTACTTTTTAAATTCAGGGCCTTATCAACAGGATGAGAAGCTAGGCCTATCATTTGAGAAAGAGTTACATCAAATTATACCATGAATTAAAATGGGACAACTGTAAGTTTTGGAACGTAGGCTCCTGCCACAGAATATAAACTGGAAAACATTATAATTGCTGTCCCAATTATAAATCTGGACTCATTTCTACAGAGCAAATTCTACTTACTTTGAGGGCTTTGTAGATAACTCCAGGAGGACGTGGAGAACGGGTGGTATTATTTTCTAGCTGCTGCTCCACAGCATGCCTGAGACTACAAAAATCTGTTGGCGGGTTTTGTGTCCTTATCCCTTTGTAATGGATTGAGCTGAAGGATTCGGGGAAGAGACCAAGTTTGCGGAATCGATCCTGAATTAGTTTCTCAGGCACCTCAGAAGGATTATCTGAATGGATTTAACATGCATTTGTTAGTATGGTGGTGAACCACATAATTCTGAATATTTTTGGCATATTTGAATATCTGGCATATCCTGAGTGTCATATATTTCTGGAGAGCAGGGTAAAATAACAGTGACGAGATAGCCAAAATTACACAACAAATGGGTTATATTAGATCTTTAAGGATTTCTACGCTTGTTATATTTGTGGAAACACAAGGAAGAAAATATATGTGCAATGCATTTATGCCATGTCTAGGTGAGTATCTGTTGTAATCACATTTCTGCCTAAATCCATCTTCAAATAATCAGAAGCAATACAGACAGACTTATGCAACTAAACATGGGCCATTATCAAATCATAAAAAAATTAGAGTGGGATAAAAATGATTTAAGCTTCTAAGGTTTAAATCACCTTATACTCACCTGGAAATAAGCTCCCTTAAGAGCATAAACAGTACCCGCCTACATTGGACCCCTGGCCCATGTAGTCCAGCAGTCTGTTCTCACAGCAGCCAACCTATTGTACAAGGAGAATTTGGGAGTCTTTGTGGACTCAGTGGTCCTGCTTAGAGAGCAGGTGGCAGCCATCGCTGGTGGGAAGGGCTTTGCACATATTCTTGGACTGGGAGGCATAGATACCCATGCCTTGGACTGGGAAGCCTTGTTGGGAGGCCTTGCTCATGCCTTGGTCACCTCTCATTTGAGCAGTAACTCTACCTAGGACCGCTCTTGAAGACCACCTGGAAACTTCAACCGGTCCAGAACACAGTTCTGTGTTCTGCCCATGTAACGTCTCTGTTGTGTGAGCTGCACTGGCTTCCAGTGTTTCTATGGGTACAATACAAGATGCGGTTCATCACCTTCAAAGTCCTGTGTGAGACTATCTATGAGACTGCCTTTCCCTAAAGTCATCTGCCTGTCCTACCAGGTCAGATGGGGTGGGAGGGCTCCTAGTTCCCTCCCCCAAATATTGTCATCTAATTTGAGCTAGGGAGCATGCCTTTTCCATGGCAGTTCCTGACCTATGGAACGTTTTGCCCACTGAAGTTCAGCAGACCTCCACCCTTTTACCCTTCCATAAAGCCTTAAAGACCTGGGGGAAGGGTTTTCTATCCCAAGCATTGGGAGATTAGATGATGAGATGTTTGCATGGATATACGTCAAGTTTTTCTTTTTATTGTTTTTATTATTTTATATTTTGAGTGTTTTTTAGTTTTTAAAATGATTTTACAAGGAACCGCTCAGAATTGCCTGACAGATGGGCAGATATATAAATTTTAGATAGACAGACAGATAGATAAGATAGATAGGAGAGAGGGAGAGAGACAGACAGAGAATATTTACAGTAGTCAATTTCTACATCCATATCAAAACAGGTTGATCAATTCAATCCAATGGAGAGCAATACTTCGATTCAGCACTTTGGTGAAAAAGAGTGTGTCACCTGAAGATATGCTACATCAGTACATCCTGCCAAAGTTTCATGCAGCCCTAATGCACCATATATTTCCACCAAATTCTACTCACCAGCACCCAATAACTGTGTGTACACAGTTTCATGAAAGATAATGACTCCAGGACCCAAAGTGGACAATGGGACATCCAGTCCACAACGGGCTGTAGTTGCTTTCAGTTCTTTGGTGAAGTGTTTTAGATAAGCTTCCGAAGCATCTCCAAGAAATTTGAAGAGGTCATTGTGGAGTCTGTCAGCATGTGTGCGGTAGATGATGAGATCTGAAATAGCCAAGACCTTTAGAAGCAGCCGGGTCCTCTGACTTAGATTCTCCATGGCACCAAGAAGACCCTCTGTGTCAATCACTACCATTTTATGAACAGGGTCATAGGCAGCCCAAACACCTACTGTACAAGACTCCTGTGCTGGAGATGTTTTAAAGACTTCACGCCCATAAAAGAAGGTGTGGTTAAGGGTATGAGATTTACCATCCCCTGTATTCCCAAAAATAGACACAACCTTTACATGTTGTTCAGGCTTGCAGTTCAGTTTCCTGATAAATTCTTCTTCATTCTCTACCTACCAACACAAGTAAAAAAATTAAGATTTTATGAGAACATTATAACTAATAAACTCTTACTACTACCTAAATCTAACTTGTAATCAAGCTGCCAACTGCCACATTTAATCTGCAATGCTCAGAGTTGATTCGACTATGGGACTCCCATAGTTTAATAACCTCTTTCAAGAATGCTACTATTTATATATCTTTATACTACCAGTCCCCAAATAGGTGTGGATATCTACCAATTTCAAAAGGCTAAGCCAGTTGAATTTGTGGTAAGTCGTTCTAATTCTAAAAGGACTTTAAAAACCTTACAGACTCTCTTAGAATAGGATTATAAACAACATGACAATGGTTAAATTACAAATACAAAAACTCTGGCATTCAAAGACTGTTCAAAACAAAATACACACAAAAATCTATAAAAGAGTGGTTCACATCTCACAATAATTCTACAATACTTTGTATATCAGTCTACGAGAGAAGGTGCAAGCTTAAATCAGTTACCTGCTCAATTGGATTAAATTTATATTGTTATAAGGATAAAATTGGGGAAGAAATGAACGGAAAAACTGATACATCAAGGAAAGAAAATTCATTTTTGTTCAACAAATAATTTTGTTTTTTAAATGGGTGTTTCTTTTTCTTTATGCCATCAAGTTAGTATTGACTCCTAGAGAGTACCTGGAACTGGCATAGGTTTTTTTCAGAAATGGTTTGCCCTTTGCCTTCTTCCTAGGACTGAGAAAGAGTGAATGGCTGGCTTTGTGCCTCAGGCTGGACTAGAAGTCATGGTCTCCCAGTTTCTAGCATGGTGCCTTAATCACTAGATCAAACTGGCTCTTAGGATCTATCATTTTCTCTTGTGATATTTTCCAGTTGAGTCAGCCAGCATTTAAAAACAGGATCTTGGATTACCATACTTAACTATGAAATTTATTTCTGGGAGAACAAAAAGTGGGTATTTTGTTCGACTCTTATTAAAGGATGCCTTTAAATTAAACAGACGTATAAAGGATCGATTTTAAATTTATACAGTATTTTTCATCATATTCATTTCTAAGCAAAATTTGCAATGTCCATGTCTGCATGTAGAATGAAATGAAGTAACGAAGTCCTACAGAGATAGAATTAAATTTATAACTTCATTCTGTGCATGACAGAGCCATTTTTAGTGTTCCTTCATATAAAACACTTGTTAAAAGTAAAAATGTTGTGTCAGAACAACCTTTCATGCAAACAGATACATCAAATTTTGAGAATACTAGCACAAAATGGCTGTACGCAGGGATTAATTATTCTTCAAATGGCAGCCATAAAATGTGTGGCTAGTCAGAAAAGTACAGAATGGACTATTTCAATTTATAGCTGCTTAAGAAGTTGCAGGTAGGTACAGATGGTATTCAGCAGGTTCTGACCAGTTCTGGAGAACCGACAGAGGAAATTTCGAGTAGTTCAGAGAACTGGCAAATACCACCTCTGACTGGCCCTGCCTCCATCTATTCTCTGCCTCCCAAGTCCCAGCTGAGTGGCTGGGTCTTCTTTTGTTGCCCTGCACAGGAGAACGGAGCTGGAAAGCAGGTTAGTGGGATGGGGAGGGAATGGGGATTTTGCAGTTACCTTCCCGCAGGAGTGGGGAGGAAATGGAGATTTTTACAGTATCCTTTCCCTGCCACACCCACCAAGCTACACCACGCCCACCAAGCCACGCCCACAGAATCGGTAGTAAAAAAAAAATTAATCCCACCACTGGGACAGTTTGCCTGTATTTTCCCTTGAACCTGAAATACTATATAGCCCGATCAGAAATGAAAGGGGGGTGGGTGGGACAGACAAACAACAAATTAATCATGTTTTCTTAATTTAGGATCTTTTTCTAACAATCTTTTTTATGCATTGTTTAAATATTTTATAAAGCATTAACAAAAGCAAATTTCAGCAGCCTTGAAGTCGCATATTTGCTAAATGATTACACAGCATTGTCCTACTTTGTTCAGCATCTCAGTTCAACAAATTCCTACTATAGGTGAATAATATGATTAAAGGTAATTATTTAACATGATCTTCACTTGCCCAGAAAACAGCAATAATTATAATCAGATTTACATTTTCCTCAATCTGGTACCCTATAGATCCGTGATGGCAAACCTATTCCATGCATTCCAGAAGTGGCACACAGCCATCTCTCCGGGCACACCGGCTGTCTCCTGTTGCTCTTCCGGGTTCTGGCATGCAAACTGGAAGAGCACCTCCCTAGAGTGCATGCGCACGCTGGCCAGCTGGTCTTTGCACATGCGTGTTAGAAACTGGAAGACCAAATGGCTGGCGCACATACATGCGCCAGGAAGCTAAACTTCCAGTTTCTGGCATTCCCGCACACGTCAAGGGAGCTGCTCTTCCGATTTCCGGCACACACACACACGCACACACACACACACACACACACACACACACACACACACACATCAGGGAGCTGCTCTTCCAGTTTCTGGCTCACATGCATGCTCCTGTTTCAGCACTCGATGCCAAAAAGGTTAGCCACCACTACTATAAATGTATTGAAATTGTAGTCAATTGAGCATGGTGATCAATTATGTTACAATTAATTGGTTGTGGTGCTTGTTACTATCTTTTTAAGAAAAGCTACAAATGGAGTTCCGGTCTGCAGCGCTTCAGGGCAGGCAGGAATCTGCGACTGTGCGCGGTTTCTGCCTGTGTTCGCTGCCTGAGTGCCCTGAGCCACCCGGCTTCAGGGTTAGCCACCTCCGTAGAAGGTGGCGAAGACAGGGGGGACCTGGCAGGGTCGAGAGATATCGCACCTCTCTTCCCTAGCCGGCAAAACCCCCTTTTCCGAAGGCAGCTGAGCGGCGGTCAGAAATGGCCGCCACATAGAAGCGCTCAGCCGGAAAAAGAAGGTGCAGGAGGAGTTGTGAAGAAGTGAAAGTGTTTTTTGCTGACCGGGAAAAGTAATAGCGAAAGTATTCTGGATTTTAAAAGTTGCCAAAGATACATCGTTCCCAGAGACTTACAAGCGGTGAATGGAAATTTAAAAGGGAAAGGTTTTTTTTTCTTTTCACTCTCCTTCCTAACGTGTCAGCGAACAGAATCGCAAGAGAAATCGGAAAACCCGCATTGGAGGTAATTAAATGCTAAAGGGATAAGGATTTCTGAATATTCAAAAAAAAATCTTTTTTGCTGTAAGTGGGAAGGGAGAGGAAAAATTTGGAGCAGAATTTGAAAGTAAGGAGGAGATTGCCTAGAACTTCAAAGAGTTATTAAATATTAACAAGACTTCTAAAAGATATATTTTAACTGGAACTTTGTGACTAAACAGTAACCCCAGAAAGAGAAAGGGAAGAAAGAAGAAAGTATTAAAAGAAACAGCTTATTTGAATTGTTTGGTGATTTTGGAACGTTTGGGAACTACCTTTGATTAAAAGCACTTGGGTGGTTGTTTTGGAAAAACTTTTTCTCTTTACAATGGCATTACTACTGGATGATTTGAAAATTGAATACCAAAAATACAAAAAAGAAGAACAAGAAGGGAAAGATTCTCTTGGCACCCTTTTTCAATTTTTAGAAATGGCGGTTTATACTTATGAAAAACTGACTGCGCAACAGGATGATTGGGATAAAGAAGAAGCCATCTTTGATGAACAAGTGGCTCTATATTGGGGAAGGAAAGGAGAAAGAGGAAAAGAAAAAGGGGACTTTAAGACTTGAAAAAACAACCCAAAAAGAGAAAAATAAGGTGAAAAGTGGATACAATGTTAGAAAAAAACAGAAAGGGGGAAAGCAGAAGAAGAAAAGGGAGGTGGAGAGACAAGGGGGTAAAAAGGGCAAGGAGCAGAATAAGCAAGGGAGAATGGAAGGGATGAGAAGCCTCAATGGTGGGGAGCAAGATGTAAAGAAACAAAATTCTTTTAGAGACAATGGGTAAATTTAATTGAAAAAGGGATTCTGTAAAGGTACACTAGATTGTATTCTTATATTTGCACTTAGAAATAATGTTAGAAAATTGGAAACAACATGTAATCAAAAACTGGATAAAATATTTAGTGTAATTTAGTGAAATTTTTGTGAGGAAAAAGAAGGTAATGAAATAAATGAGAGAATTTGAAGTAGGAGAAATGGGAACATTTTAATGAAATAATTTAAAATATGTGATGTGGGGGGAAAATAATTATGGAAAGTATAAGTGTTCCCATAAAAGTATATTTAACTGAAAAGTAACGTGTAAAGTGTTTAAGATATAAATGAATATTAATATTAATGATTAGATCTGTATTGGTATTAATAGCTGTTTTAATTACATCATATACCTATAATTTCCCTTTTTCTTTTTTCTTTATAAAAAACATTGTGTAATTTTAGAGAATAAAATTGTGAATAAAATAAATGAAATGAAATAAATGAGAGAATTGAATTAGGAAGGAATGGGAACATTTTAATTACCTAATGTTTTATAAAATATAAGTGAAGTGGGGAGGAATTAACTATGGAAAGTTTATAAATGTTCTCATAGAAGTATGATACTTATCTGAAAAGTAATGGGTAAAACGTTAAGATTTAAATGAATATTAATATTAATGATAGAATTGATTTGGTATGGGTTGTTGTTTTAATTATATTATATATTTATAATTTTTTCCTTTTTAAAAAAATATAGTGTGTAATTCTAGAATGTACCAAACAGAATCCCAATGGAAGTCATGTATTATATTAAGTGTTATAAACTTAGGGGAAAGAGTTAAAGGCGTCATACTCCAATCAGTGTACAGGAGAAACTTTGTTTAAAGAGAAAAGATAAATGGATAGCTGGAAATAGAACAGACAAAGAATAATAAGTATTATGATTTGAACTGAGATGAGATAAATAAAATAAAATTGAGAAAGTTAAAAGAGGTGAGAAGTTATATAGAAAATTGAAAGTGGTAATAAGATATGGAATGGTATATAAAATGAATATGAATTTGAATTTGTGTCTGTACGAAGAGTTGTAACCCGGGATCAAGCAGCTTTCAGAAAAGATGTTCTATGTTTTTATGTTTTGTTTGTTTGTGTATTGTCTTTGAAAATCAATAAAACTGGTTTAAAAAAAAAAGCTACAAATTAAAGGCAGAAAAACAAAATTATTATTCTCATTAAAGATACTGGTCAAAGGTTTAAACTGGGCATTCAATAAATAGCAGCTTATGCCACTGAAAAGTTTCATGATGTCTCATTCAATTTGTACTCATTGGGTACAAATGATTACACAGTTCAGTTTTGCCAAAGTTGCTTATGGACTTTGGAATTAAAAATGCTAGTTTCTCAGAAGTCAGGCCCAACATTTTTCTTTATAACCTCAGAAGAATAACAGCAATATAAACGGTGATGCCTCTGCCTCCTAGAGCATCAGAACAAATCAACCATTTGGTTCCTATGTACAATTTATCCTGATCTTTTTATGTATATGGAAACACTGAAGAAAAGCTCTGTTAAGGCAAATAGGATAGGAACCCATAAAGAAAAAATCATTTTGGTAAGTGTCCAAACTTTAGCCTAATTGATCAATTGTCCTAAACTATAATTGATTTCTTTAATTTTGGTTTAGCACATTGACAGGGTACTTACATTATATTATTAAGAAATGGTTAGCCTAACCAGTTTACTGAATAAGCCCCAATTGTCTAGATACACATGCTGTACTAAGCCATAAATTATAAATCATATTACTTGAATTTTCATCAAGCTATGCTAAAACCAAATCAACTATATTATGGCTTAATGTGATGCTTGAAGACAGTAGGAAAAAAATAACAGTTACCCTCGAAATAAAAGCAATCCATGCGGACCAAATGGGGACAGCCAAAGGGCTGGATGTGACTCAATGGCCATAAAATGCCCAGGTTTGACTTATTATGTATCTTGTCAAATCAAAGGAGAGTATCACTTGAATATAAAGTGATACAAATATGAAGAAAAACCCTTAGAATGATAATTGAGTTTATTTTTTTTCCAAAATAGCATCATCCTGAACCAAATAAGATATTCTTATCAATCTCTATTTTCAAAGCTCACAACAATTCTTACCTGAATCTCCTCTGTTTCATCCACCAGCAGGAAGCTTACCACATGTTCTGTCATTTTCTTCCTCTTGGTCTCCTCATCCATTCCTTCCTCCTCTTGTTGCCCATGATGTCTGCCACTATGGTATATGGTAATGGGATGTTTCCTCTTGTTTCCACCAGCATGAGTTCTCTTCTGACACTCTAAACATAAATTTATTTTGCATGCTTGGCACCTTACTGTTGCCCTTTGTCTGGAGCTTATGATACTGTTCTGCAGGATGTTGCCACTTGTAAGTTTGCAGGTGTCACAATATGGGACATGGCCAGGTTTGATTCGAGTCCGTTCATGATTTCGAAGTCTTTCTTGTCTGTGCAGTTCTTCTTCACAACGCTGGCACTGCAAGCTTCCACATTCATCACATTCAAAGACTGCTTCATCTGTGCCACTGCAAGCATAGCTTTCCTGACACAAAAGTGCGGTATTCAGTCCTTTATCTACAGATGGAGGTTGGGCACTCATCTTCCACAAATTATTACTTTATAAAACTGGGTTTTTTATCAGATACATTGGTTTGCCAAACTAAAATTAGTTCTTGTCTTAAGAGAGGAAACTATAAAAGCTGGGATATATGTATCAGTTTTGATTCTTCACTTCTATGATGCTTTCATGAAATGCATAAAAAAAATCCACTTGGCCTAAGAATTGTAAATACAAATTTCCATAATGACTGAGGGGGGCTACAAAATTCCACACTTAAAGTCACAATAAACTTGGATACATGTAAGAAAAACAATCTGATAAGCCTCCAAAATGTAAGCCAAGTCTTTTCTTTGTAATGTCTAAAACATAAGGGAAAACATTGATTTAATATATATAGACATACACAATATATAGACATACGCATATACATAAGTGCAGTAACAGTTTCATATATTAAAAACCTGTTACTTTCTTTACATAATGTATTCCTCCTTCAAAGTGAAAAACAGTTATGGGTATGTTTAAAATCTTTGCATAACAAAATATATCTTTGATTAAAATAGTCATATACAAAATCTCCATTTGAGCTTCAAATATGATTAAAAACTTGTTGAGAATCTTCCTACCATGTTGATAAAGACGATTTTATCAAACAAGTATAGGACTGAACATCGTTCAACTGAGGGGTCCATGTTTTTGTTTTAAATAATTATAAGTTACTTTCCATTCAATCAAACTCTGTGACACCTAATCTTAAGTAAACGTGTTTTGGACTGTACTCTTCCAAGCAATAATCACATCTCTCATAAACACACACCAAGTAAACCACATCAAAGTTGGACATATTTTTAAGCCCTATAAATAGACAATATGTCATATAGTGATGAATTATCTACTTAAAAGTAAAGCAATAAAATTAACTTTAAGTTGCTTTTAAACGAGCCAAGAAAGCGGGGAGGGAGAGGGGGAGGGGAAAGAGTGGTTACACAAAACACACTGGTTCAGTGTTTACTTGTGACTCACTCGTTACCACGAGAAGATCTTGACTTAATCCTGTCTGATAATCTAAAGAACAAAATATATATCTCACGGTTCGACTGAGTTACTTGAAAGCACCAATCCAGATAATCGCAAACTAAATTTAATTTCTCTCGCGAGGCGCTAAATCTCCCCATATAAACAAGAATAAGCGAGAGGAAGCGGAGTAAAATAAGACGACAAAAACAAACCGTACAGAAGAACAACGCAGCCCGATCTATTGTTTATAAAACAATAGGCATCTTCTTCCTCCTCCTCCTTTTCCTCCCTGTAAGTCTCAGTGACTAAGTAATCAAATCGTTGTCTCCTCCCCCGGCTCCTCTTTTTAACTACTAAACCCGGCGGTGGACAGGGAGGGAATCCCTTTTTTCCCCGATAAAAGGATTTAACTATCTGGATCGCAGCGGGTGAACCTGGTGCCCCGGTAGATACAAGTCCCAAGATCGTCTGTTTTCCCCCTTGTTGTCACTGTTGATCAGCTGATCTCAGGGAACTTCAGGGTTATTTTTTTTTTAAGGCAGGAAGGTAGGTGGTCAAATGGGAAGGAGAAAAGACGGGCAGGTTGCATTGTGGGAATTGCAGTATTTTTCCATGCAGCTTTGCTTGCGTTGGAAACGGAGAGAGCGCCTCAGAAGCAGGAAAACAGAATCACAAAGCATATAATAGAGAGGCGTAGTTTCAAAAGTCCTAGGGCTCATAATTATGGACAAACGGTGGTAGAAGTAAGAAGGTGCATGGGCCAAATAGAATATATACTGTGCAGAATATCTGAATAAACACAACCCTTTAACATTTACATCATATTAGTGTTTAAACTGTTTTCAGGAAATGCTGAAGCATGAGAGACATTATAGCTAATACACATGGCATAACTGAGAAAGCCAACAAATATCACCCCTCCCCCATCAATTTGTGCTTCATTGACTATAGAAAGGCATCATATTAAGTAAGTCAGCCATATCAAACAATGCAATCTCCTTAAGAAATAGGAAATCTCAGAATATCTCATTTTCCTAAGGTGAAATACAATCACGTAAGTCTGGACAGAACATTGTAACACAAATTAGATTCAGGAATGAGGCAAGGCTTTTCATTTGTTTAAAGTACAGACTTAATATATACTGAGGGAAGCTGGCTTGGAAGATAAGCATGGTTTTAAAATTGGAGAAAAAATATCAACACCATGCAGATGACACTCCCCCACTAGCTGAAAATGCAATTGATCTCAGTATCTACTGTGGCAATGAATGTCAAAGACCACAGGGAAAAATGGGATTTAATTAAATATCAAGAATACCAATTGATCATAACAGGGATAACTACCAGCAACAATGATGAAGATATTAAAATGGTGATTACCTTTTAGAATTGACTATCAACAGTAAAGCAGCCAGCAGTCATGAAATATATAGCAGTTTAGCACTTGCTATTATAGCAATTAAGCTGACCTCAAGATAGAATTCCACGTTAATTACTCTTAAGAAATATTGATGCTCCACAACAAATACAGGAGACAAAATCCTTGCAGCATTCTTTTGCACTGCCCAAACTTTATATAGTACAGATAGTCTTTGACTGATGACCTCAATTGAGCCCCAAATTTCTGTTGCTAAGTGAGACAGATTTTAAAGTAAGTATTGCCCCATTTTACAACCTTTCTTGCCAGTTATTAAGTGAATCACTGCAATTTTTAAGTTAGTAACACAGTTGTTACGTGAATCTGGCTTCTCCATTGACTTTGCTTGTCATGTCGCAAAAAGGGGATCGCATGACCTGCAACCATCATAAATGTGAGCCAGTTACTAAGCACTTGAATTTTGATCAAATGCTGAAAAAGCTTAAAGCCACTTTTTTCATTACTGTTGTAACTTTGAACAGTCACTAAATAAACTGTTCTAAGTCAAGAACTACCTGTACAATAACACAGGAAAGCTGTTATCATTTTACTGTTCTTCAATCTTTTGTCACCATTTCTCCTAATTATTTAAGGCAAAAATCCGATTCAAGAGTAGAACAGAGGGAGGAAAAATAACAACTGCGGGACACTGAAAATGTCTCCTCTTTCCCTCTTAGCATTGAACGCTTCTAAAAATTAGGAATCTTAAGATGCATAATTGCACCAACGTGCCTACCGTCCCTGTCTTAATGTCCCCTTTTCTTCGTATCTATTTCATGTATTAATAATCATGTTTCTACTTATATTATCAAATGCATGCTTGACAGAATAAATAAAAAATAAAAATCTACTCTGGAAAAAACACCAACACCGAATTAAGAATTTTCTGTATCTCTTTGCCAGTATTTATTGCTGGACCGGATTTTTCCAATTCATATTTGTTAACATGTCAGATTCTTTTAAAGCTGAACCCGAGAAATGTTCTAAGTCTACAAGAGCGTTCCATCAAAACCGCTCCTTCCAGTGGCACAAGCACAGCGCCGGGAGAGAGGACGGAAGTCGCCGAACCGTAGACATGCGCAAACCCAAAACAATTGCTAGAGGTGCCCGTACCTCGAGATACCTCTAGGACTTATTCATCTGCCTCTCTATGATCAAAACGAACGCTGCGCTGGGCGGTCTTTGGCGGAAAGCCGGGTTGGGGGGGGGAGGGGAGGTTTTGTTCACGTGACCATTCCGCGTAACGCGACGGCGCCTGTGGCTCTGGCGCGTTTGCGGCCTAGTTTCCTTTGCCGGGTCGAGGAGAGTAGAGGCTTGTCGGGCCTGTTGTCTTCGGCCGCTGTTTTCGGTGAGAGAGGGGCAATGCCCGTGCAGCTTATCCTTATGGATAAAGAGGCGGGACCGGGGAGGATCGGGGGTTCTGGCCACTTGGGGCACCTGTGTCGGGGGCCCTTCAGGAATGGGGGGCGGGCTGAAGGTGGCCCTTTTGGAGCTTTTCAGGGAGGGTTATGACGCTTTGGGGGGATGGAAGCGGGGGGAGATGAGGGTTGGACTCTTCCCTGTTTCTTTTAAAGAATCGTGCTCCACGGTGGGGAAAAATGGATAGAGGGCGACGAAGGCAATAGGGGAGATACCGAAGGCCACTCTGTCGAGGCCTGAGAGCCTCGCGTTCAGAGTTGGCTGTTTCCCGAGCCATCCATCCTTCCTTGTTGGCTCGCATGCAGTAACCTCGGCGCTTGACGAGCGCGGCATCGAGAGGTGAATTGCGTGTGTGAGGGAGTCATTGCGAAGCAGCCCTCCTCCGGCAGGCAAAAAGATCGTTTAAAACACGAGGTGGTTTTTTTTGGTTTTTTTTTTTAAAACCAATAAACGAATTACGAGGGTTTTTTTAAAAAAAAAACTAATAATCTCAGAGACTCCAAAAGGATCCTTAGAGGAGCTTTTGTAGTCCGGCAATGGGTTTTTTTCAGACAGCAGCTCATTTAAAAAACGGTATTAAAAGAGCTCGTTTTTATCGCCTTCAGCGTTTCTTGAAATGGAAGGTTTTGTAGAACCGTGCAAGGCTCGTGTGGTTGTAGGATCTATCACGGCCGTTTTAAGTAGCGATTAATCATCCCTGAAAAGCACCCACGGGGCCATGCGTTTATTTTTATGCATCTGCCGTCTTCTGCAGACGTTTTTAAAGACATTTGTAATCTTATATTCACTTACCTGAAATATAAGCCAAACTGACTTTTTTTAAAGGGGGATTGCCCTGTAAATGGTATTAAAAATGTGCTCTAAGCCCCAAAATATTTACCTGAAATGAAATCTAAACAAATTAAATTTGTAATCCAGAAAAGAGAAGGTAATCTCAGAAAAACAGATGGTAAGGTAATGAGAAGATATGAGGAGATAATCTCAGAAAGACAGGTGGTAAGTTGACTTTAAGTGCATCTTTTGTGTTTAGCTTTGAAATGTGGTTATCTATAGCCTGTTAGCTGCTTTATTGTATTTCAAGTTTTAGGTGCTGGATGTAGTTTCTTTCTCTTGCTTTTCTCTCCTTGCTTCAGTCAAGATGCCCTCAGTTAAAGAAGAGAAGGTGACAGTTGTGGCTAGGAGGGCCTTTACACAGTCTTGTGCCCAGATCAGAAGGCTCTGTCCACAGTCACTCATGCCTCCCCACTGGACTACTGTAGAGTAACACACTCTACATGGGGTTCCCCCTGGAGAGTATCTGGAAGCTTCAAGGTGCAGAATATGTGTTTCTAGAACATCACATGTTGTACCTCTGTTCCACAAGCTGCATATGTTGCCACTTTGCTTCTGGGTCCAATTCAAGGTGCTTTAAAGCCCTTCGTGGTGTGTCATGAGACCGCCTCCCCCCATTACACTGGCCACTCCCTCTGAGCGGTTGAGAATTCAGGCTGTGGGTTCTGTCTGCTAGGGATTTGCGCTTGATAGGTACCAGGAGGTAAGCATCCTCCCAGTCCCAATGTGAGATGAGGCTCCATCCCTGTTGATGTTCAAAAGGTCCCTCAAGACCTGGTTTTGTTACCAGGCTGTCTCCCAGGGGACCAGTGAAATCTTATAATGGTTAATAAATGTCTGCAGTTGATAATTACTTTGCCATGCAGTTTTTTCATTTTTAATGTTTGTTTTAAATTTTAAGAATGATTTTTTATGTATTTTAATTTATTATTGTATAACACCATATTGGTAAACTGTCTATATTTTTAATAGTTATTAGAAATTCAGGGACTCTTCTTCGGCAACTTCTCTATGTGTGCTTGATTTTTGTTTAAGTCATAACATTTTTATAATGTTCTTTCTGCATTAACATTTTTATTGAGTTATAAAGTAATGTAAAATACAAAGTAATACAAATACAAAGTAAATAGGAAAGCAGTGGGGAGGAAAAGAGGAAGGAGACATGAGGAAAGGTAAGAAAAAGAAGCATTGACTTCTGACTCTCTCTGTTACAGTAAAATAAGGTATTAACATCAAATCACAACTTTTTGCTTTTTCATAATAATATGAACAAGCCATTTCTATGGATATCTATCAGTCTAATCAGTAAAACCCAAAGTCTCAGAGTTTCATTCTTCTTCTCCACATCAAGCACGAAGTTCAGAGGTGGTCTCCATGTGGAAACAAAAGTATTTATAATGTCCCATCATGTGATTCCTGAAATATCTTTTATCTTTTTCTCTATTCTGTTTTATAGTTTTAAGGAAAAAATGTGTGCTGTGTTAATTTTAGAATTTGCAAAAATATTCCATAGATTTTATCATTATACCAAAGTAACCAAACCAGAACTGATTATTAATAATGTACTACCTGTTCTTGAAAATGCCACGTAACACTAACTTCTGTTATTCCCTTATATAGTTACAATAATTATTTGGGAACAGTTAGATTCTGAGAGGAATAACTAATGAATATATTTGAATCAATTGAATTATTTCAGAAGTATTTTGCTCATTAGTAAGACCATAATGATACATTAAATAATGTTCTATATTGTGTAATATAGTTTTTTGATAACTATGTCGTAGGTCGGTATCTGGTTTCATCCAGTTGTTTGGATTTCTTTTTTTCTTTTTCTTTTTACACA